GTTGCTATATGATATGATGAGAAGGNCATTCAATTATGTTTTTTTGTGTTATTTTCTTTCAGTTTTTCAACTGCAATGGTTTCATATCTGATCGTACTGAAATTTTACTTGAAGCGAAACGATTTTTTGAATTGAGAACGTAGCTCCACACCTATTGTGTACAAAAAAGCGGGAAGCAAAGCAATCGTTGCTATATGATATGATGAGAAGGTTTAGTTTAAGAATTATACTTTGATAGCATAAAAGTAAGGAACCATTGACACCAATACAATAATTACTTCGGCGAATGTGCAGTGGTGATTCATATAAGAGACAATATTGGGTGACACGTCTGGAAATTTGCGGTGTGAACTGATTAATTGTGTGGTCGTTTCGAAATGATAATGTTGATGGTGATCGAATAGTCGTTGTCGTGGTGGTGATCGCGAATGAGCTTTGTGTTGGATGTCGAACCGAAAAAACAAAAAACCATAGAAACATACTGCCAGAAGACGTCTTATGTACTGGGAAGAATTAGCGGATTAAAGTTAAATGCTAGGAAACGATAAGCATGGAGAATAATGTTTCCAAGAATGTTTGCCGGAATGAATTCATAAAATTAATCAGGCACTGAGTTGATTTTTTGTGATAATAGAAGCAGTCAGATAATGATATTTGAAAACATAGTTGTGTTGATGATATTAGTTTGAGAATTTTGAATAAAAAATTTTCAGTTAATGTGATTGAATAATTTGAACGTTGCTTGCTCTGTAGACAACTGACTGCGAGCAGGAAAAGCGAGCAACAAGAAAACGCCCAATGAGAAACAACCGAAAATGTTTATAGGATGCAGTTTGATATGGAGTTGAATGAGATTATTTCATCAGGTGACAAACTGTGAACGTTGTGTCAATGATTGAAATTACGTATACATTCAAATGAGCGATTGAGTTACGAGTCATTGTGCATTCAAACGGCATCCCATTAACATTTTAAATGCGATGCTGCGATAACACATCCACTCACCACATGAACATGCTTAACCTCCGTGAGTGATGAATGGTTGTAACTCGTCGTTAGATTATGAGTTGCGACGACTGGGCGCGAACAATTCCATCATGATCTGAAATTTTCGTTAAATCTCATATTATATCTCATCGTTCATGCTGATAACACTCCGCTGATACGCGATCCACTTCCTCTTTATGTGATCATGTTCTTCGTTTGTATGTGTATGGTGACGAAGTGAGTAGTCCGATGTGAACTGTAACTAGTGTTCTTTCCGGTTGCGGTGCTTTTATTAGCTTCAATCAGGAGAAGAACAATTCAAGCTGAGAAACGGCATCAAATTTTTTTTATGTCGCTATACCCACTTTCCCGTTCCGATCCTCCAGCATTTAAGCTATTTCTGATCTTCGAGCTTTTCCGAATTCTGGTTTAGATCTATCACAGTTCCGGTGGTTTTCTTTTGGTTCGTATTTCGAAAATTTTTCTATTTCGGTCCCTATTTCACTGCGTCTTCATCAAGTTGACTGAGTGTACGGAAGGTCGAATTAGTGAAATTGAGGTGAACTCTGAAGTTAACAGAAACGATCAAGCAAGCTCAACCTATCATTAGATGAAAGCAAGAACTTTGCGAACAGCAAAATGTCTTCAGAAAAAATGAGTATCAGCAATTTCAGCCTTGAGCAAAGACTCGAATCAGTTCAGCTTTTCAGAGCGTTCGTCAAAGGTATAATTTATTCGAACTATGGCGCAGTCCGATGTCTAACTGCTAAGAATAGCACAATCGTTGCTAGGGTTTGCACGGGATCTCGGGATCCTGGGATTACACTTCTGATCCCGATCCCAGGATTCAAGTTTTGAAAAATCCTGGGATTCCGGGATTTGACAAAACAGGTCAATTTGTGTGAATTTTAATA